CTTTTGAGTTTTCTGTTTATGCATTTGTTTTAATGTACTACTTGGTAATTCGAAGTCTAATGAAAACTATAAACGAACTTTAGGTCGGAATTCACCAGCTGTTTCGTCCTAGTATAGGACTCTTCAGCAGTGCGCATGAATTTTTAAAAGAATTGTATTTCCACTTTCTTAACCACAGGTTAATTTGATACGTTTTACTACACTGAAAGTATATTTTATCAAAAAGAATAAATTTTTCATTTATAATGAAAAAGTAATTCATTTGCAATTTAGTTAATAGTTACAAATTAACATTCGACATATATTAAATCTTGCAATGCAGAATACAAAATGGAAGTTTGTGTGTAAAAAAAGAAACAAAGAAAATAGATGTTTTTTTTATCTGCTTATTTTGTCTAGCTTTTTCTTTTATCCTTAAACATCTAGACATAATTGTTTTAACCTACAATCAATCAATGTTTATTTTTTGCATATTTGTTCCATTATTTAAATAAACAAAAATTAAGGATACATGTTCATTGTTTACTGAGAAGTTGGTTGTAGACAGTCATTTTTGATAGCAGATATGTTTTAAATCATGCTATTCTAGAGGGCGATGTTATTGTCTTTGAAGTATCTAATGCATTCATCCAAGTTACGAAACTTCAACTTGAGCATACTTAATGTTTACCATTAACTGGAATACTTTCAAGCCACTTGAACATGTTTAGTTTTTCTCTTCGATTGAAAAGATTTTTTGTTTATCAAGGAAATACTTAGTTCACTAGTAAGATCTTAGCCAGTAAAGTATAAGGTAAAACCGCACCCTATGCGCTGAGACAGAGACAGATGGATGGAATTATTCGTTCTCATACAATTTTTTTAGCTTATATATTTTATAAAATAAACCTACAAATGGTCTCTGAGATATAATATTAACAGTTGTGTTGAGATGTTATCCTTTTAGTGATTCTACCAAAAGAATTGTTAGATACAACCAAATCACAATCATCGATTTTCGTACTACAATCTGTTGGTCTAGTTATTTGTACGCAGCCTAATCTGCCATTTTATGAAGAAACAGACAAACAGCTACAAAGTTATATATCAAATCATGGAAGTAATTAGTAACAATATAGGTGCACGTAGTGAAACAACAATAAGTTGACACTAAGGATTTGTGAACTACATAAATTCCAAGAGTTCACTGAGTCTTATCCCTGATGATTTTCTTCAGCATAACAATGAAAGCCTTGCAAGTAAACAAACCAGTTCAGAGAACTCAAGAATATCAAAATTTAAAATGTCATTGCATCATAGGTCCTTCAGTTCATAAATGACGTGATTTAAAATGAAAAATGCTAGATGCTACTCAACTAAAAATAACCGGAACAGGAGAGAGAAATCATAAACCATTGAATCATCAAATGAAACTTTAAGAAGTTCATAAATTTGTCACTTGGCGAAAATAGCCAATGTTAGACAAAATAATCAACAGAGATATATTATATCGGGTAACAATGAGTTTTATCCAAGCCAGATTCTACTCATGAGTGGCTAAATGTGTAGTTTACCAAACTGAAGCTAAGTTACTTGGTTAATGAACCACTGGAAAGAAGACAGAAGTTCTCATGAAGTTTTAAATGAAATTAACTATTAGTTGATAAGTTAATAAGCGCATGAAAGCATGAAAGAAATCAATATTTCAAACTTTTTTCTGTCCTGTACATTGAATAGTTACCATTTATATATGATTTGGCTCCATTAACTGTTACAATATGTAATCTATTTCTGACACCTTCTGAAAAAAGTGAATGAGTTAATCGAAAGATCAGTTACTTAAAATAATAATCAATAACATATTATTGTAAAATATGAATCATAGCAACACATTCAGAAGGCAGTCAAAAGCGAATAGTGAACTGTTATTCTATTCATGTAAACCACTTTTGATTCATTCGTTATGAAAGGGATCAACTTATCCAATAAGTATTCACTTTCTCCATGTGATTACATGCCTATAGGTAAGATACGTAACCAGGATAAACAATTTAAATCCGAGTATTTTTGAGGCCTTCAACCTTTGAATCCTATGCCAAATAGAAGAACAGGGTTCTTTTGTCATAAATGTGGAGTCTCAATCCCCCTATGAGTAATCGGGTTAATCCTCGAAATTCAGTTTGCCAATGTCACAAGATAAAATGGCTAGCTGTCATGGACTTGCAGGTGTAGGCGCATCATTAAGTTATGAAGTAGACATTGCACTTCTCGAATGCATATTGGTCGACAGCTGACTGAATGAATCTTGATAAAGTAAGGAAGATAGGGAGAATCGCCCATCCCTACTCATAATCTTCGTCTATGCCCCCATCAACTGCAGTTCGGATGATGCGGAGAATGAATTTTGTCAAAAGCTGCATCATCTTTCTCTGTCCGCTTGTTCTTTATGTACTAGTGTGAAGTGGACCAACTCAAACCGATGCACTTGTGTACGAGGTTCTAAACTGATCTTGCCTGCCTTTCTATCTGCTTGATAGCCTGACGGTCCGATTACACGTTTGGTGTATGGAGGTTATCAACAACAAGCCTAGTAACTGGGTTTTATGTTTTTTGACACGAACCAGAAAGGCGTTAGTACATGCTCGAGTTAAGAGATTTTCCCTCAGAACCCATGTCACTCAGTACGGCAGTCACATAAGTCGCCACACTGCAAAATGATTACCAGAAGTTGGTTAGCACTCAGGCCTAGATAACTTGGAACTGATTACTCTTCAGTGATTAGTCGACTTGGTACTTAGTCACTATTCCAAAATATAATAGAGGCCTTTTACGTAAGCACTGATGGTATGAACTTGGATTTCCACGCAGCTGCATGTTGTTAGACTAGTTATATGAAAACACGATTTCTGTGAGCTTATCACAGTCCTTTTTCTGTGGTATCAAAACATGTTCATAATCTGGCCAAAGTCGTTACAAACAGACCATCCCTTGGTCAGAATGACGTCTCCTGTAGCCACTGTGACACTAAATTTAAGCGACAGACGTATTTTGCAACCTCACTTGAAAAATGTGGATTGAAAAAATGCAACTGCTCATGTGAAGTCAACTATTCGGGTTACAATGTAAGCACCATTTCTCAAAGTGCGAAAAAAAATTTCAAAGATTATAGGTTCTCTCCTGTTCCGCCTAGTTGACCCCAGTCGCAGACAGTAAGCCTTGATTTCAAGGATCCAGGATCCAGTAACAGTGCATTTTCCAATCAAATTCATGAAACCGGATGAAGGCGAAATTTTGAATTTATTGTTGCTAAATGCTTTTGAAGGGGGTATTGAAACTTATTTGTAGGAGTAGTCCTTTCAAAATATCTAATCTACAAAACTTTTTTAGTGACATATTGATAAGCTGCCTTTTCACCTACTGGCGAAGTAAAATTTATTAAAATACAAGATGCATATCATAATTTGTTTAGCTTAATTAACTAAGTTGACTATTTATAACTCATTATGAATAGCAGGCTTATCAGATATTTTTATAATCCTATTAGTCGGGACTTACCAGTTTGCTGGATAATCGCTTTATCTTTCATACGATGTGATACAATATCGTTTAATTTCAGTCAAGTACATGATTTATTTGCAGTGGAATTGTTTGTCTGATCACATCACGTTACAGCTGAATGGTTATTTATAGTCTAAACACACATCTCATCGTCAACATCTAGTCTGTATCTCCTACTGTCATAAGTCGCCATGAAAACATCATTGGAAATATAGCTTTATAATCAAAGCTTTTGTAGATAAGAAAAAAAATGATATCTTAGGATAAATCTTACTAACACCAACAAATTTCCCACCACCCAGTCGTCTTACTGTTTTAAAAACATTTAGAAAATTACATTAAATTGCTGAAGTTAGTTTTGAGCTGTGACGAAATATACAATAATGAAGAATTGACCACGCTGTTTTCAGTCCCTTGTTACTGATTGGAGGTTCTCGATAAACATAATGATTAAGTCATTTAAGTACAAGGTGACACTGAAACTTTAGACACTAGGAGTCAATCAATAGGAGTCTTCATTCTTATTTGGACTAGACACTGAACTTCACGACTGGTGTTTTCTGTTTACAAATCATTTCAAGTAAATAATCCACATTTTCAGCAAATTGCTTGAGATCTAACTAGGTTGTAAGTGAAGCTTCATTGAGTTATGCAGTTTTGAATCTCTAAAGCATCAGAAGTTTTTTTCAAGGTAGCATACATGCTTTGGTGATGAGTCGTAACAGGTAGGAGACTTCGTTTCAGAACATCAAGCACTCAAATACAATGTCATCTTTTCGAGAGGTATCGTGGTTATGCACAAACCTGTCTTCAGTGATCAGGTTTGACATTCAAAGGAGGCTTTGGAGAAAGGATTTTTCTGTGCTATTATTCACGTTAGGGATAGTTTTAAACCTAGCCGAATAAATATCCAATTATCCATAATTATACTCTCAGTGTGAAATTCAACTTCATCACAATACACAATATGTTAGTTTAAAGATTTGAATCGCTATAAACGAACACGACTATTTCATTCTTTTGACATTTCGTAGTTAGAAAATCAATGTTAATTATCATAAAATCAGTCAACTGTACAACAATCATGTTTTTAACTAAATAAATAATTTCGTATCTGTAAGCAGGTCGATTTAAATGTTAGAATAAAAGTGTGCATACGGTAACAAACTAAGCATATTTATGAGTGTGGTACCAAGTCAGTTGGGTAACAGAAGAATATGAATAGATTTTTTTGAGAACTTCAGATTCATTGAAAGCCAAGGAAGAATAGACTATTTCACAAATGTACTAGAAGCTTTCACTTACTAATTCAAATATCATGGTACATGGTGCTTATCATTATTTTGTCCTTATAAAGGTTAAGGTGATCCAATAAAATGAGTTAGACAAGCTCACCCAATCACGGTCTAGACTACTCTAAACCAATCAAAACTATCCGGTGGAATTTTGAACATATTAAAGAGGACACGATAGATGATAATTCACAAGTGATATAGACAACAGATATGAATATTAAATGTTTGGATATTTTACATTTTAATGATGTATACGAAATTGAAGGACAAAAACAGGAACCTGTAGCCGGTGCAGCACGATTCACTACAGCACTGAAAGAACATGGAGCTGGAAAAGAAAGTATTGTCTTATTTTCTGGAGACTGTTTAAGCCCATCGTTTATTAGTAATGTAACTCAAGGACGTCATATGCCACCAATTATGAATAAAATGTCTATTCAGTGTGCATTATTCGGTAATCATGAATTTGATTTTGGATTAGATATCTGTCAAGAATGCATTGAGGCATGTAACTTTCCTTGGATTAATAGTAATATATATGATGCAGAAAACAACACACTGATTGGTACAGATTTACCATATAAAATTATCAAGCATGATGGTATTAAAATAGGAATAATTGGTTTAGTTGAGAAAGATTGGGTAGAAACTGTCGCATGCTTTACTTCATCACTTATAAATGTAAAAGATTTTTGTGAAACTGGTAAAAAACTTGGACAATTTCTAAAGTCACAACAAAAATGTTGTCTAGTCATCGCATTAACTCATATGAGGTGGCCAAATGATCGTTTACTAGCTGAAAAGGTTCCAGAGATCGATTTAATTCTTGGTGGACATGATCATGAATATGAATATGAGTGGATTACATTAAATGAAAGTTTATTTCTTGATTCCAGTCAAACACTAGACAGAAACAAAATCACCACTAAACGTTTAGTTCTGAAAAGTGGTAGTGATTATAAAACATTCTCACACTTACGAATTAACTATGATAAAGAGAATTGTAAAATACTGGACGTTAAAATTGAACAAGTATTGATTGATAGTCACTGGAAGCCAGATGAAGAAGTAAGTAAGATTCGGTTAGAAATATTCTTAAAGATTATGACATATGTTAAACGTTGAAAATCTCTTGGTCCTTATCCTTTTAACTATAAGTATGAAATACCTATTCATTTGATAATAAATCAAGAATGCTAGAAAATAGTCATTATTATCATGTGTTTACTTTGGAATAACGCCTTGAATATACTTGGAATAGCTATCTTAAAGTAGTATTAGGGCTTCACCAATAGTTTTTACGTCTTGCAGATCTGTTTTCAGGTTACCTTCATTTATTCGGTTCTGAGTGACCGTTAAGTTGATTGAAATGTTTCTTTTAAAGTTTCTACTTCCATTAATGATGACAAACAGCTTGGTGAAAGATATAGACTAAAAGCTGGCCACTTCGCTTGAATTTAGTGTGTTAAAAAGCAACTTTCTGAACGGTAATAAATACGAAGAGCCCACCAAACAGTCTTTATTTAAGATATTTAGTGTCTCATCCAATCTGGGTACACAAAGAAGGATTGAAGCATGCAACGAACTAGTCAGATAAAACCAAACCAATAGGCGTTTATATAAAAAAAGATTTTGATTGCCTAACAAACTGTGTAGCTGTTATTTATGATTAGGACTTATACTCAATTGTAGTCTCACCTTTGTCCCATACTAACCGAATATTTCTGCCATTGACCCGAATTTGGGAAAGTGATGTTTTTTGGTATATTTTCTTTCCCCTCTAGTGGAAACACTAGATGATTAAGCAGTCTGCATATGATAAAAAAAGAAAATTCCTATTTATATCTCTAACTTGAGTGTTTGCAAGAAAACTGTTATATTGACATTCAACCAATTACGCGCTATCCTATGTGGTAGAACGTTATAACTTAGCTAACGATCTAAAACTCAACTCATTGAATGACCTTAAAATCACTTAGTTGTCAATTAAGTGTGTTTATTTAATCAATAACAAGGCCTAAGTCAGAACAAGAATAAAGTAAATGTGGGACTGTTCAGAAGTGTGCGCCTACAACCGAGTCAGGGTCAAACCCAGGACCTCTAGGTTCAAAAGTCAGCACGTTATCGTTTATCCACTCCGTAGGGACCAAGTGATCCAAATTTCCTACATCTATCAGTTTACAATATAGTGCGACTCCCAACCAACGACATCGTTGAGTAACTGTCTTCATTTCTAACTCGGTTGATCCCACTGGCGATGACATTCGATTACAACTTCAGGAATCTCATCTCAAAGCGAGTCACTAGTGAGGACTAAAATGAAACAGCTATCCAGTGCTCCTGGCTTTCCAGTGGTTCTCCAGCCAATGTCATTCCGTGGTGAATATCAACCTGAAACCAACAAATAAATCCCAACAAGCCTCCAAATTAGAAGGTGAAATGAAACAAACATTTGTAAGTAAAGGATGTGCTTAGGATCCCATCACTCAGAACTATATCTGAAAAATCTAATAGTTATCGATTTAGGAGCAAAAACATTATAACCATTATTAATCTCGATACACACCTGGTCCTCCTACTATGTTGGCTTAAGTGAATATCAGCTATCTTGTTCTGAATGACGTAATCTGCTCTCAACCGATCCAGTCCTCACCCTTGCGTCAACATTATTATTATTGTATTTTGAGGTTAATGAGGTTTCATTAATTATTATTGTCATCATCATTGTTTTCTTATCCGAAATTCACATGACTCTAGAATGAACTACTTCTTTTACTCTTCAACCCATTACATTTTATCATCCAGTCCTAGTTATACTCGTGAGAAATTCATGCACTGCTGATCAGTTTATTATAAATATTTATTACAAATATATTTATGATAAATTAATCCACCCATACCTTTTGCATAACAATTTGGCCCTCAAAAAGTATAGATTGTAAAGTGCGTCGAAATGTAGGGTCATGAAACGACTCAAACTTAATCCCTTCAAAAACTCTTCATTTCTATGTTATTACATCTAAATCGATGTCTGAGTCTGTGTTATATATATATATATATATATATATATATATATATATATATATATATATATATATATATATATATGTTATTAGTCCCTTGGGTTCCTAATGGAACATAGGGCTTCAGTAGCATGTCTTCAGTGAACTCTATTCTCTGAAATCTTTCGAACCTAGCTCCACGACAGCCCAGAACCTCTCATTTCCTCCTGTCACCATCTCCTCCATGACACCCTCACCTCGGACGCCCAACTCGTCGCTTCCCATGAAGATTCCATCCGAGCAACTGGCCTGACGCCTGATGTCCCCATTCATCCATCTTAGTGTATGCCCAATCCATCTCCACTTCCTTCCATTGCATATTTGTTGGGTGATAGGTTCTTGCTTCGTTGGTTCATTCCCAGAGCTCCTTGCTGCTTATTCTTGTTATTCTGGCCATCTGATCTCCAGTAGCGAGACAGCGTAAGCAGTTGTTGATGAATGTCTGTAGTTTATTGGAAATCCCTTTCGTGACACCCCAAGTCTCTGAACCATACACAAGCGCTGACTTGTTGTTGGTGTTGAAAATCCTGATCTTGTTCCACTTGCTGAGTGCAGTGCAGCAGATCTCCACACTGGTTTCAGGTTAATGAACGCCTGTCTTGCTTTTCCGATCCTGGCTGACTTCGACATCCTCGTCTGTGCCACTGCCGCCTGTAGTTGAAACAGTGCTGCCCAAATACGTGAAGGAGGTTACTTCCTTTAAGTTTCTCCCGTTGATGGTGATTGGAGTACGTTGTTGTTGTTGTTGGAGTTGTCGATGCGGTATCTTCATCACCTCTACCTCTGTCTTCTCTATATTCACTTGAAGTCCCGTCTTCGCTTCCCTGCCTCACCTCTTCTGACAAATTGTTGGCTTTCGCCTGTAGATCTTCAAGTTTGTGTGACATCAGACACAAGTCATCACTGGTGAAATCCAGATCTCCTAGGTTCTTTTCCACAGTCCAGCCAGCGTATCCCCCTCTTCTCGCTCCCCACTGTTTCCTGCATGATCTAGTCCAGTCGACCACAATCAGGAATATCATGGGGGATAGTAGGCAACCTTGTTTCACTCCTGTCTTCACTTCAAAATCATCACTGAGCTTTCCATTGTGAATTACTTGGCATGTGGCATCTTCATATAGTTGTTGAGTGAGGCTGATAAAGGTTTGCGGTATTGCGTAGTATTGAAGCAGTTTCCAAATTACCTCTCGGTCGACGCCGTTGATGAAGCTGAGGTATAGCTAAGTTGACTGCCATTCCATACTCTGTTCTATGATGATGCAAAGCGTTGCAATTTGATCCACACATGATTTGTGCTTCCTGAATCCACCCAGCCAGCCAGCCTGTTCCGGTCAAAGTTTTGAATCTAGTAAATTCTTTAGTCTCTCCTGGATGATGCGGTTTAATATTTTGCTTGCTTTGGGTGGACTGGAGAGTGGTTCTACGCCAGTTCTTGCAAACACTGATGTCTCCTTTCCTCGGGAGTTTGACAAGATGTCCCTTCTTCCAGTCGCCAGGTACCTTCCCTCCCTTCCACACCTTCTGCAATAGTGGTGTGGTGTGAGCATGTCTGCTGTTGTCTCTGTGTCTGTTTTCAGTGATCCCATCTGGTCCTGCTGTTTTCCTGCATTTCAGTAGCATTATGGCGTTCAGGACTTCCACTTTTGTTAGAGGATTTATGTTCACTTGTAGTTCAGTGGTTGGGCTATAGGTGGTATTTCTGGACGAAGTGCAGGTGGTGGTGGTGGTTGTCGTTTCAAGAGCTTCTTGAAGTGGTCAGCCCATCGTTTTGTTTCCTTTGTTTCTCTTCTTTCGTAATTAAATTTCCGTCATCATCTATTATTGATTTCGTCTTCATTGATCTCTTCCCTGATAGCAACCTGGTTATTTGATACAATGTTGTCAGGTCTCTATCTCTCCTACCTGCAACCTGTTCTGCTTCACTTGTCAATGTGTCGTAGAAGTGTATTTTGTCTTTCCGTACACTCTCCTTCACTTCTTTGTCCAGTGTAGTGTTTTATACATTGTACTCAGTTCCTCTTCTCGTTGTTCATCCCTGCCTGCACTGGTTTATCTTCTGCTTTACCATCCTCCTCTCCCTCCTCTATCAGCTTCCATGTGGCCATCTAGATCCATTCCTTAACTTCTTCCTTCCTAATACGGCTATGCAGGTTTCTTTCCATATAGCTTTCAAAGAGTTCCAGTGTTCATCCACACAGGTTTCTTCAGGGATGTTCCTCGATATCTCCTACTTGTCTTGACGGCTGCTGTGAAGATACTCCTTGTAGTTTCGTCCTTCATTTTCCGGGTGTCAAACTTCAACTGCGGTCTATCACCAACTTCCTTGAAGGCTTTCAACTTGATTTTGAATGTAGGTTCCTAGCAGTAGAGAGTCTGCTGGTCTCAACCTACATCTGCTCCTCTTCTTGATCTAATCTTGTGTCATGTAGGCTGCGTTTCAACTTTCTTGAGATTGAGATGAATTCCATCTGATTTCTAGTGTGGTATGTCCTGGTGTCTGGTGAAATCCATGTCACTCGCTTTGTGGATATCCTTGTGCTTGAACACACTGTCTGACTCCAGTCACTGAGTCGTTGAATGCACAGAATCCTGCAAACAATTCTCCATTCTCGTTCATCACCTCACCGAGCGCTTCTCGACCGATGATGAGTTCTCTTCCTGTGTTGTCCCCTCCCAGTTTGGCATTCATGTCGCCCATTAGAATTTTGATGCTGCCAACTGGAGTATGGTGTTATTCAGTACTGATTGCAGTTGTCTGTAAGATCCCTCCTTCTCTTGCTCTGCATTATTTGTAGGTGCATAGCGTGGCATTGTATGATTGTGACCTTCCTTCCTTTTGAGTTGAATCTTGCTGTCATGATCTGGATCCTGCAGGAGGATATTGGTTCCCACTGCATGAGAGAGAACCTTCGATGCTGTTGGGGACATCATGATAGCCACTCCATAACTCGATGTGCTCCTGGTTGTCATCTAAGTGACAATATTAGAGTATATTATTGACTCCTC